TACTCAACATTGTTTTTTAAGGGAAGATGGTCTTAAAGAAGAATGGTAGCTGGTGGGATATAGTCTTCTGCCAGTTTTACCTCCTTTAGAAGTATTTGCACAGCTGGAGGCCACAGGTGTGGAATTTGAAGAGCAATCAGGCTTTGAAAATCAAAGGGGGAAGAGTGTACCTTTTTCTTGGCCCAACACAGGCACCTTTCCCAGATGAAAAATGAGTAGTTTCTTTGCAGGAATGGAGATAGTTTCCTCCTCCTTTGCTGCCTTAATTTGCAGGATGCTCCCAAAAGAAATGCTGAAGTGGTTTGGGGAGTCACAGCCCCCAGCCCCACCTAGGACAAGGCTGCGCTGGTGGGAGGCCCTGAGCATAGTGGAGTGACCTTCCCTGAAGGCAGAGTGCCAAGCAGTGGGCAGAGGCGGAGGAGGGCAGAGCACTCTGCCAGATGTGATAAAAGAATTCCGAGGAGAAAACTCTTCTGTCTCTTAGAGGTATTCCCCAGAAAGAACCCTGAGGAGCCGTGCTATGTCTCTTTGCCATGTAGTTAAATTTCCCCTAGTCTGCGCCAGCGTGGTGATTCTGAAGTTGAATGAGCGTAAAGGCCTTTCAAAATTTCAGCGGCATTACAAAATTTAAACCTGCTAAGAGTCACTTTTTGTGTAGTAGCTTTCCCAGCAAATCCAGGGTGCTATTTTATTATTTTCTCTGCCTTCATTTTGTTTCCAAAAGGTTGAAAGTGGTCAGATATAGTATTTGATAGTATTTATCTTTTCCTTCTTGCTGTTCCTCAAGAATCTGAGAAAGCTGCAACATGGCATGAGTTTAAATATTGAAATGATAATGTTATAAAATCTGTAAGGTGATCCGGCACAAACCACAGTTCCTCTTAATTTAGATTTGGTGAAAGTTCAAGAGGCAGAATCATGAGGGGGAACATGGACTCTGGAGCATGGCCGCCTGGGTTCCAATTACTTCTGCCTCTAATGAGCTGTGTGACCTTGAGCAAGTCATTCAGTCTCTCTGCGCTTTATTCTCCTCATCTCCAAAATGGATCGGAAATAGTATAGTATCTCATAGGTACACCTCTTAGATATAACCAGAACAAAGAGGCGTAAAAAAGTTATTTATAAAGCACTTCAACTGCTGCTAGCACAGAATAAATACTGTGGATGTGTTTGGTGAATTTAAAGAAATGTAAAGGAATATTGCCATTGAAACAGTGTTGTGGGATGGGACGTTCCCATGCTAGCCGATTCTTTGTTCTCGAGGCGTGATGTATGTATGTTGCATTTTTACTGCCAAAATAAAAAATGGTTCCAAGGTTCTCTGTTGCAATAAAATAAAAAGCCTTTAAATTACAAAGGGCCAGATGGATCTTTACCATTAATATTGGAGATGGCAAAGTGGTAAAAATGAGTTCAAAGATGGATGTTCCCTTGTGTGTGTGTTTTATTTTTCCAGAATCTCAGATGGTCCAAATGACTCTTGTCAGTTCAGAGAACCGGCTGTCTTTGTTCTGCTATAAACAGGTAGAGGAATGCAGGGGTGAGAGGTCAGCTCAAACTGGGAAGAACTGCCCCCAAAGAGGCTCGTTAGGGGCACATGGAAAACTCTGATTAGTTTTTACAGCAAGTTTCTGTGAAATTTAAACCTTTGTCACTATATTTATTCAAGGACAATGCCTTGCTATTCTTCAACAGTTACATCTGGTAGTGGATTACCTATAAAAATTCCAAAAAGCTTCTGGGAAACTAACATGAAACATGTTTTTGCCTTTCTGACCCTTAGATAATCTCAGCGTTCTTTCTCGTAGGAGCCCTTCCTTATCAGAGGTGCCCTGGTTCTCGTTTCTTTTTTCTGAATAATTCACTTTGGATTTTCCTTCAGATCAGCACAGCAAAACAAAAGGAAGCTATTCCTACCTATACCCAGAACCTCCCAATTTATCCTGGAGAAGCTGTGTCTGTAAGCCGGGGAGGCCTTTCCCTCATACTGAATATTTATCAGATCTCGCGCCCTAGTGCAAGGGACCTCGTGGTCCTTGTTTACTTCACTTGGTTGAGCAACGTGAGATGTTTTAACTCAGTGTTCATGGGGTCAAATATGTGTATTTCCACAAAACCTGCTGCATTTCATTTCCACTGACTTTCCCTTTTCACGGACTTGTATGGAGAGGCCAGGAGCACTGCAGGCACTAGCCTTGCTCAGCCTCCGCTCTTGGCTCACTGTGTCTAGCCACAAAGCCACAGTTAGCCAGATTCCCATCCTTCCCTCTGGGACTGAGGAAGGAAGGATCAGAGATGCTTCCCAGACAGTCGTAGGAGCTGTCCTCCTGCTTCCTGCCTGTGCCACCAGCACTCCCTCCCAGCATTCCCGCCAGCCGGGAAAGCACGACCTATTCCAGAAATAGGCAGGTTCTGTTTTCATAGTTCTTTTAGAGGCCATACTCTTGCCTTCTTTCTGTCCTTTGCTTCTTTGTTTTCTATTCTTGACTCATAAGCAGATCTCTACGTAGTGAGAATTCAAAATTTGTTTTTTTCTATTTGCCTTGGGCTTTATTGACTATTGATGTGGCTGTTTGTTGTAAAGGGAAATTTTCTTAATAGGTTCATAACACTAACACACTGATGGTTACATATTTACAGCACACAGCCCCTAATCACTCCCAAAACATTTGTTTCTTGCTCTATAATCATTCTGTTCCTTAACTTTTCTATCATACTAATGGCACAATTCATTTGAATTATTTTAACAATTTCTTTACTCCTACCAAGTGGAGATCTCTGTAATGAAGATTTCTCAGGGTTTGTATGTTTTATTTTACTTTTTTAAAGAGTCTTTATTGTTGAACGTATTACATATGCCCCCTTGCCTCCCCTCCATTGACCTTTCCTAACTATATTTTATTTTACAAAGCTGTGTATGCCTTGGAAGCAATTCTTAAGTAAAAGTACTAGACAAATGGGGACAACTGAGTCCAGTCCTGGCTTTTATACCTGACTAGAGGCCCGATGCAAGAAATGTGGGCAAGGCCCTCGGCTCTTGCAGCCCTGGTTTCCTCTGGAAGGTCATCTGGAAGGTCCTTCGGCTGTCCAGTCTAATTAGCATATTGTGCTTTTATTATTATAGATTAGCTGTTTACATTTCTCAGCTGCAGTTTTCTTATTTTTTAAGCAGATTTCTATGACTCCATAATGTAGAAAAGAGTATATAGGCTCTATTTCTAATCTAGATGGTTGACTGTTTACTTGTAGATTTGGCTGTATATGTCGCTTTGACAATAGTGGTTCTGTTGAAAGTGCTTTACAGAAGAGTGAAGAAAAACTCAAAATACAACTAGTTCCACGCTTCAATAAAACTATTCAGTTTCTGACTTCTTTGGCTGTCAGTGAGCAATTTGTGGTTTCTGAAGGAAGTTATGTGAATTAGGGTGGTTTTGCATCATTATTGCTTAATACCAGACAAAATGCAGATGTTTTATGTTTCTCTGGAGATTTTGGAAAGATATAATACCTAGCCCTGCCAGTGTG